AAACTAAGGGGAAAAAATCCAGCCCTTGAGTTCTGTGGACAAAACATTACGTGATGCAGGATTTATCACGAGACGATGAAAGTCATAAACAATGTACCAAAAATAATTGGTAGACGTTCAACCATTTCAAGAAGTAGCATATGATCAAGAGCTGAGGGCATAAAAGGAAGGAGTCCAAACTTCACTGAAGGCATTAGCCAAAAACATGGCCTCCAGAACTCACAGCACCAAGTGAAATGCTGCTGCACGCTGAACGACGGAAGCACTGGAAGCCAGGAAATTTGGAAAACCAACCAACTGGAAGAGATCTATATTTATGCCCATTCTAAAGAAAGGTGGCTCCACAGAATGTGGAAACTGTCAAGCAATACCATTAATATCACATGCAAGTAAAATGTTGCTGAAGATAATTCAAATGATTGCAGCAGTACATTGACAAAGCTGTCAGAAATTCAAGCTATGTGAAGAAGACAACATGGCATAAGGGACATTATTGCTGATTTCAGACAGATCCTTGGCTGAAAGCAAAGAATACCATAAAGCTGTTTGCTTGTGTTTGATTGACTGTGCAAACGCATTAGACTGTGTGACTCATAACAAAGTATGAATATTGCAAACAATGGGAATTCCAGAACACTTTTCTGTGCTCTTGCAGAACCTATGCATAGACCATGAGGCAGTCATTCTAACAGAACATACGTGGTTTAAAATCAGGAAAAGTATAAGTCAGGGTTGTATCCTTTCACTATTCTTATTCACTCTTTCTATTAAGCAAAGAATCTCAGAAGCTACTATGTGAAGAAGAATACAACATCAAGATTGGAGGCAGGATCATCTCGTTGGGGGCCTTTCTCTTTTTCACTGCCCCTCCACTTTATCAAGCATGATGCCCTTTTCCTGAACCTGATCTTTCCTGATAAAGCATCCAAAATACGGAAGACAAAGTCTCACCATCCTTGTCTCTAAGGAACATTCTGTCTCTATTTTTTCTAAGACAGGTGTGTTTGTTCTTTGTCAGTCCGTGGAACTTTCAATATTCTTTGCCGATACCACAGTTTAGTCTTCCTTATTCAGTTTCAACTTTCACATGCATATGAGGCCATTGAAAATACCATGGCTTGGGTCAGACATACCTTAGTCCTCAAAGTAATATCCTTTTTTTCCCCCACACCTTAAAGAAGTCTTGTGCAGCAGATTTACCTTTGATCTCTTGCCTGCAGCTTCCATGAGTATTGATTGTGGATCCAAGCAAGACGAAATCTTTGACAACTTCAATTTTTTCTCCATTTATTTATTTATTTATTTTTGAGCCGGCGAGGGAAGACCCCGAGCGCGCGAGAAAGAAAGCTGGCAGAGCGGGGCGGCGGGAGAGAGAAACAGACCCAAGGGAGCTAGGCAGAGAGCCAGAGACACCGAGTTTTTCTCCATTTATTATGATGTTACCTATTGTTCCAGTTGTGAGAATTTTTGTTTTCTTTAGATTGATTTGTAACCCATACTGAAGGCTGCAATCCTTGATCATCAGCAAGTGCTTCAAGTCCTCCTCACTTTCAGCAAGCAAGGTTGTGTCCTCTGCATATCAAAGCTTGTGAATAAGCCTTCCTCCAATCCTCAGTATGAAAAAAAATCCCCACACCTGGACCAACAGACAACATCATGATAAACAGGAAAGATGGGAAGTTTTCAACTATGTCCTTTTACTTGTATCCAAAAGCAACACTCACAGACGCAGCAGACAAGAAATCAGTGTTGGAAAAAAAGGAAGAAAAGGTGTTGAAAATTGGACATGTTTGCAGCACCCGACCTCTATAAAGTGTTAAAGAACAAAGATGTCACTTTGAGGAGTGAGATACACCTGTCCCAAGCCATGGTATTTTTGATTGCCTCATGTGCGTGCAAAGCGGGATAATGAAAAAAAAGCTGGATAATGAATACAGAGGACTGGAGAAGAATTGATGCATTTAAATTATGGTAAGCAAACCTGTCTGAGAGCAAGTCTGACCAGAATGTTCCATAAAAGCAAGAATAAGATTTCATGTCACCTGTTTTGGACATGTTGTCAGGAGAGACCAGTCCCTGGAAGAGGACATCATGTTTGCTAAAGTAGAGGCTCAGCAAAAAAAAGAAAACCACCGAGAAAATGAAATGACACAGGGGCTGCAACAGTGGGCTCAAACATAACAATTGGGAAGATGGCACAGGAGACAGGTCAGTGTTTTAATCAGTTGTACATAGAGTTGCTATGTGTTAAAGCTAGCTCAATAGCACCTGACAACAAAAAAACATATGGACTACATGGTATATGTAGAGAGTATATATAATATGTAAAATACATGCTGGAAATAGGCTTTATATAAATATATACATGCACATACTTTTTGTATGCCGTGGCTGACTCATAGCAACTCTATTTGACAAAGCAGAACTGCCCCATAGGGTTTCTTAGCCTGTAATCTTTACACAAAGTCACCACATCTTTTCTTTCATGGAGTGGGTCAGTGGAATCAAACTCCCAACCTATTAATTAGCAGCTAAGTACTTAACCATCATGGCACCTGGAATTCCATATATGAGGACTCAAGATGTTTGTAGGAAATTTCCAGTATCTTTTCATGCCTTTTTGCCACAGACTTTTTGAAGCTCCCTCATTTACATACATGCACACACACATGATATATGGCAACAATAGAACAAAAAAAGTGGGACGAGAATGAATGGAAATAATCTAAGGTTCTTGCAGTTTCTGTAGAAGTGATAAAACTTACCAGATTAGGGTAAGCTGTAACAAAGGACGTATGTTGTAATCTTCAGAATAACCACTGAAAGAATAACACAAGAATTCATTAATAACCAGCCAGTGGAAAAATTATAAATCAAAAGGATACATGAAAACAAAATATGTGACAAATAGAACACAAATTATGATGGTGACAGTTTAAAATTCAAATATAGCAGTAACCATAATAAGTAAATGGATTAATCCTTCCATTAAAAATGGTTTCTCTTGATTTTCTAAAAAATATTAATTATGCTGCCTACAGTGAGGCTTGACTTAAGTATGAGGAGGCTTCAAAAAGTTTGTGGAAAATGGGATTACACTATAAGTATTGTTCATGATTTTTTTAAAAAATCATCTTATTGGGGGCTCTTACAGCTCTTATAACATTCCATACATCAATTGTTTCAAGCATATTTGTACATATGCTGCCATCATTTTCTAAAATTTACTTTTTATTTGAGCCCTTGGTATCAGCTCCTTTTTCCCCTCCCTCCTCTCACCCACGTGACCCCTTGCTAATTTATAAATTATTGTTTTCATGTCTTACATGTCTCCCTTCACCTATGTTTCATTCTTCCTCCCTCCTTCATGAATTTTTTAAGTCCCCTCATATAAAGAATGAAAGCATGAAACAGTTAGAAGATAAAGATTAAAAGAAAGCTATACCAAAAGTTAGTTGGTGTATCTATCACAGAAAATCAGGATAAGAAGCATTGTTAGATATAAAGATAAGGGACATTCATTTAATGATAAAAGTGTCCACTCATAAGAATAATGCAACAATTCTAAATGTGTCCCATCTAATAAGATCATCTTGCAAAATAAATGATCCAGCCTTGAGAATTTAGGAGAATCCAAGAAGATGAATGAGGTAAGGATCAGAGTAGAAAGAGAAGACTAGAAAGAAAAAGTATTTTGAGCAAAAGAAAGAACATTGATGTATGGAATGTTATAAGAGCTGTAAGAGCCCCCAATAAGATGATTTTTTAAAAAATCATGAACAATACTTATAGTGTAATCCCATTTTCCACAAACTTTTTGAAGCCTCCTCATACTTAAGTCAAGCCTCACTGTAGGCAGCATAATTAATATTTTTTAGAAAATCAAGAGGGAAAGTGGAGCTTAAAAGTACAAGAATGTTAGATACTATATTTAAAAGATGAAACTTTTATTGGGAACCAGGAAGTTACTCAAGTGTTAATTATACAGTTACTTGATCAGATTTGTTTTCAGAAGAGCACTGTTAATATTGTATGGAGAATTCTAGAAGGAGAACAAAATTGGCAGGGAGACCTATTTCAGTCATTCAAGTGAGAAATCTGTTGGCTGAAGCTGCAGTCACGAAAGAAGGAAACATACAAACACAAAAAAGAAGGAAACAGACAAAAAATAAAGTATCTCTATCAAAGTATCAATATTCAAATTGGGAGCATATTACTACACCAACTCAATTTGGATTAATGAATAAGGAATTCAGTAACAGACCTAGAGGCAATACCACCTACAGTTTTTGGTGTTTTGTTTTTCTGTATGTTTACAAGACTGTGTTGCCATTCATTCACAAAGATCAGAATTTGTCAAATCATTCTGGTTTGGTTGTAACCATTGACTGATACTGGTTTTATGAGCAGAATATTAAGTTGGAACAACTAAATTCTCTAGACTTTCTGTTTTAGAGTTCCCTCCTTAAATAAAAGCTAGTTTTCATTTTACTTGACATTTACACTTAATAGCCTGTGAGTAAATATCTAGTCTCTTCTCACAAAATATTTATGTTGTTTTAAGTCCATTAAACAGAATAGTGTAGTATACATACCTATGGCTTCCCTGTTCATGTAAACTAATTAAGGAATATTTCTTGCCCTCCTTTCCCAGACAAAATCCTGTCTTTACAGAGAGATCATAACCCATCAAATAATGTGTATTTATCTAACGCCTCCCACAGGAAGGCACTTTCTTTGAGGTCAGAGACATTGACTCTTTAGTTCAGGGCCACACCCCTTAGCACCTACCATGGTATTCAACAGAGAGCAGGTGCTCCATAAATACTTACTGGATGATACATGAAAAAAAGCATTTGTTTTAAGCAAATCAGCATCGCTGAGCTAAGAAAACTATTTCTTTTAGTTTCAATCTTAAGTATATGTTTTATTTTCATTTAAGGTTTTAAAAGTCTGATACTAAAATGTTCAAATACAGTGATGATCTTTCCTATTTGCAGGACTATCTCAAGCAGGTGCTGGACATTGATCTTCATGCTCAGATCCATTTTGGCAGGGTTTTTATGAAACCAGGGTATGAAAATAATCTTGTTCTCTAATATGGGGTTTGTCTGGCTTGCTTTGACTAACAAATATTTAAATGACTGATAGCGTTTTCTATCATAGATTATCCTAATTTTGAAAAGAAATCATATTAGAACTCTTTGTTCAAGAACAACTCCTATCTGAAATGGGAACTCATCTTCCTTATGAATCACTGGGTCTGCTATAAAGAAAGGAAAGCCACTTTCTAACTCTTTCCTTCCTTTCATTTCCCACTCCTAATTCCTTCTTTGTCTTTCTCCTCATATTACTTCTCTCTCCAAGTATTTTAGACTGAAAATAGTGTCTCCATCATCCGGCTTTTATTAACTGTTAACCTTTTTTTCATACCTTTTTGAAAATTAATCCCCACCCACTATCTTGGTGGGGCGAGGGAGAGGGCTGGGTTGTTTTAAGGCAAATCCTAGGTGACTTTTAGGAATAATAATGGCTTTACCTTATGTAATCACGGTGATATTACCTCCTCATTATTATTCTCACACACACAAAAGATTAATAGCATCTAATACCCTGACCATATTCAAATTTTCCCCAAATATCAAGGGGGAAAATGTCTCTCTATATTTGTTTTGTTTCAATTAGGATTCCAAGTGAAGTCTACAGTTGTATTTGATTGCTAAGTCTTTATTAAAACATTTACTTTATCAAACATTTACTTCTCCCTCATTGATTTTTCATGCTGTGGACTTACTGAAGCAAGTGGGTCACTTGTTTTGAAATGTGAATCTGGCTGATTGCTTCCCAAAGTAATGTTTAACTAGTTCCATTAGCTCCATTGTATGCCACAGACAAGAAGTTAGATCTACAGACATTGTTAGATTCAGATTTTGTTTTGGGAAGAATATCTCATAAGTGAAAATGACATATGCAAAAATCTTAACACCTATTCTCAAAACGAATAACCTCCAAAAGGAAGCTCACGGAGGTTTTACTGTCAGATGTAAATTTTCAAAGAATGGCAAACAGTGGAGTGGGTAAAACCCTCTCTTTAAGGACTAATTGCCTGCTTCTATCGCTGTCACTCTGTGAAGCTTTGATGCCTGTTCGAGAACCTCGGAGTCTGAGTGAGCAGCCCTGCAGACCTGCGTGCTGCCGGAGACGACAGTCACAGTGTTATCCTGCTCTTGTTTGTACATGTAAATATGCAAAGGGAGTAGAGTGAGGATTTCCCAGTTGTAAGAAGAGAGCTTTGGGAATCATCAGCAAACTCCAGAAGACTTCTAAGTGTCAAGCCACCCCTCCTAAATCCCTAATTGATTAGGGACTTACTGTTCAGGGAAAAGTATCAGCCTTTACCTCTATGTCTTGCCTGTGTACATTTAGAGTTAAGATAATTGCTAAAGCTGTTTCTACATTTGATTTGATTTCATTTAGAATTCTTGACATTATGTTCTGTAGTTCCCTGCATAGTGTGGCAGTTTAGCTGCCACTGCCAAGGACCTTTTTGTTTTTGTTGAATTTACATCATTATTAAAATTCTGCTGTTTCTTAAGAAAACAATAGTGTGCTACAGGCACTCAAAAAACTTTTTTATACCCTTTTTTTATACAGTATGAAGCAAACTATGAGAATGGAACTGATTCTTTTTGCAGTGGAGAGGAAGCTAACATTTCTTGACCTCCCCTCTAGAAAATTATTTGTGTAACTCTTATGCCTTAAAATAATCTCAGCCCCTTATGATGTTGACACTCTTTCTGCAGTCTTTTGTTTACAACTTGTTTCAGCTTTTGTATATTTTCCTGCTTTAAAGCCCTACACTGTGCCTCCATTCCGTGCTAAAATACATTGGTGTTTCAAGAGAAGAACGAACGATGGGTGATGAACTCCCAGGAAATGGCTTTCCGGAGTCTACACAAAACAGGACCCTTATGGCATAGCAATGTTTAAAATGTTTTGCTGTAATGCAATCTTTTTAAATGAGTACCTTTAGCAGTATTACATTAACTGTCTGCCAGATGCAGAAGGTGCCTAGCCTTCTGATTTAAGCTGGCTTTAAATACAGAAGAAAGAATGTTCTGCATTCTTCCTCATTCCTTTTATCTCTGTGATAGTTTGCTGTTAGAAAGTGGTTTAGAAGTTTAAATGGGCTTCATTTAATTGCCAGAGTTTTATACTTGTCTAAAAGTAAGAATTGAAAAGTAATCATTACTTAATGGGAGGACAAAAAGAAATATAAAAAGCTCAAGTACAATTTAGCTTTACTCTTCCCACATAGATTGTATTCAAAATGCTTTTTTTTTTCTCATTTTTGAGTTAGTGATACTAGAAACAAGCATTTGAAATATTATCAGCCAAATGTGCCAGTCCACTGTTTTTATGGGTCATCTATGATGAACATAGCTTCTATCAAGATCATGTCTTAGAAATTATTTTCATCATAGTAATAACTATTGCCAGATAACAGATCCATAAATTGATACGACAGTCTCCCTTTTCTAAATCACAGCAGAGAATCAGAAAGTAAGCAAAGGCTTTGGAAAAGACAAAATAGATGTCACACAGTCCATATGCCAATATTTCAGTGCTCATGCTGTGAGCATCTTATCAAAATATGAGCCATAGATCAGAAAGACCTCCGTTCAAATCTTTGCTCCCTCACTTAATAACTGAGTGATTTGGGCCAAATTGCTTAATCTCCCTGATTATCCATTTCCTCATCTATAAAATGCATCAAGAATTGCTATCTCATGGGATTGTTAGACTCAAATGAGTTAATAGATATAGCACATAGGTATTACTTTTTAAAATAGTATTTTCTATTATTATCACTGTAATTATAGTACTGTTCCTAGTTCTGTCTGGTTCCCAAGCCTAAAAAGCCAGTGTTAAGGCTGAAGATGAACATTAAGGAAAACAACAGAAAAAAATAATTAGAAGTCAGAAACAAGCACAAAAATAAGAATTTTAGATACAATAGTGTGGGGTCATAGTGTATAGGTGAAAACAATCTGTAATACACTTGGTACCTGTTATCACTTAATTCTAATAGAGTAGAATGAGTTCATAACAGTGGCTGAAACTCATCAAAACCATGGTAATGTCATCATCCTCTTTTTAAAAGTCATGAGAGTAATTTATTTTGGAAAAATCAAGTTTGCAAAACTGGAAAAAATAAAACAATTCAGGTGCTTAAAGGGATCATTTTTCTAGCTATATGGAAATTACAGTATTCCCTAAAGACTCTTCATTGTTTACTCATCATTAATATCATGAAAATGTCCCCGGAGCGCTGCAGAAAGGGTATGCAACAGAAATAAATCATCTCTCCTCAGCAATCCTCCCCTGCATGCTACTCATCTCTCCCGCCCCCCACCCCCCACAATAAGTGTTCTGTCAGTGTCTTGCGGAAGTAGAATTTGAGTGTATTTTAAAATTACTATTTCTTTAATCATGATTTTTTATTTATTTTCACATTTCAAGAAACTTCTTTCATAGAAGGGAGGGCTACTTACTTTTATGTTCCCCACTGATTCTGATTTGACAGTGTTAAGAAATACTTATCTTGAGCAGAACCTCATACACTGTATGATCTGTCAATCTTCTGACAACTGGGATGATTGTTAAAATCCCTAGTAATTAGACATTAATAGCATGGACAGGATGAAAATTAAAAACAATCTACAGAACAGGAAGTGTGGGTCTTTGTAAAGCAGAAGATACTAAACCCAAATTTATGTAACTACTCTTAGAGTACTTCATGGTATAAAGGATTAAAGGCGAGTCAACAATATGTTCTGTGATCTGTGTGGGTGGTCACACAACAAGAACACAGGGTACTGAATTTAACTACTCATAGGACTTAGCAATCGCCCCCAAATAACCTCTTCTTTTTCCCCTCTAGTCTACCAACAACATTTGCAACTTTGGATATTGATGGTGTAAGAAAAATAATCTTTGCACTACCAGGTAAGAATCATGGATATTGCTTTCTTTTGCTTTTTCTAGAAAAATAACCGAAATCTTTTGGGACTTCGCCCATGGCTAGTCCCCTATCAGAGCACTTGACGTGGAATCTGAAAGATGTGGGCTCAAGTCCCACCTTTACCACTTGCCACCTCTGTGACTTTGGGCATCACTTCACTTCTTTTCTTCATTCATAAAATGGGAATTTTGTCTGTATCATACGGTTACTGTCAAAGTCAATTAGATAGTATGTTTCAAAGTGCTCTCCCAACCCAAAGATGTTTAGCTATCACTATGTCTTTTTTCTGAATTGATCAGCTAGCAGCCCAATTACCTCCAACTAGTGTGCCAAGGGATGAAAGGACTTTCAAAAATTACAAAGATAGCTTACCAGATTTGGGCTGGAGGAACAGCGAGCAAGGAGGCAGGAAATGTGCATCCCAGCCAAATCCAACTCAATGGTTTAGAATGTAGGAAAGCACAGTGATTCATTTTGTAAGGATTACCAAATTCACATGTTTATTTCAACTTTTCTGAGGGTCACACATTCAAAGCCATTACTAAAGCAGTTTAACTTTGTGTGGGTCTACTTGCTTTTTTTTTTTAACTAAACCTTTTTAAATTGCCCTCTGGTTTCTAGCAGTAGCCTATCCCTTGTTTGTTTGAGCACTGCTCCCTTCAGAAAATAATGTACTTATTCCTTTAAAATTCAAAAATCTGGTAACTTTGAGATATTTATTTGCTTTTTATCTTAGAGAACAAATCTGAAAATAAAGATAAAGATGAGCAGGTAGAAGGATTTTGAAGTTCAAAATATGTTCTAACCTTTATTTGTAAGCATGAAAGAGGACAGACTTCTAGTCATATAGAAAATTATGAGACAGAGGACATGTAAATTAGTCCCCAGAATTTATCTAAACACCACGCTCCCTTCGACAGGTACTCTGAAAACAATCCTGTAAAGAAATAGGCTCCTCTTCCTCCCTGGGTTTGGCCCAGAAGGGACTGTTTATTTCTCTGTAGAAGATATCACTGAGCTTACATGCCGTCAGTGGATATGATCAAAAGGGCTTTACACCAGGAGCAAATTTTGTCATTTTGATTGGCGTATTGGTAATCTGCCAAAGAAGTTAAATAATGCATTTTCATGATGGCACTATTAATTAATTTGACATTTTCTCTACTCAACCTGAAAGAACCGAAAGAGGGCAGCAACCGCCCACTCTCTGATTGTAGCAAAATCCCTTTGTGTCGAAGGTCTCGGACTTCACACGTGGCTTTCTTTCAGCTTCCCTGAAGTACCTACGCTGAAAGGCCGTGCTCGTTTTTTAAAATAGTTTGAAGTTTTTGTGTAGCTATTTATTTATTTATTTATGCCAGTGAACTGACCACAGTAATACACAATTGGTTCCAAAAAGTTTAGGAAATATATAGACATAGGATTAAAAATGTTATCTGTAATTCCCTCTACCTAGAAATAATCACTATTTGCCACTTTCTGGTGTCTGTCCTTCTAGTTTTGTTTTGTTTTATTCTCATACAGATAATTCATAGAATATCAAGTCTTAGTACTACAGGATTTAAACTTTAAAAAGTGTCCTAGTAATACATACTCAGCACAAAAAGTTGAGAAAGTTCACATACGGGTGAGGAAATGTTATCCATACTCCCACACACTCACACACATACCCAGAAATGTCTAAAATTTAAGAATAGAATCAAACGCTCTTAAGAGGTGAAAAATTTCTAGTTTAATAACAAGCTCTATTAAAGTTAAAAAACAATTTAAGAATCCAAATGTCTTCTCTTAGAACAAATCTGGTTATGTTTTGGTTAGGGAAAATTGAAAACTGTATGAGGGGACTTCAAAAAGTTTGTGGAAAAGTGAAATGGAAAGATAATGGAATTTTCCCACCAATGCTTTGAAGCCCCCTGCATAGACCGAACAAAGTGCCAAAATATTGATATATTTACAATACCCATCTATTTAATTAAGTCTTAGCCTAAAAATCTAATAGTAATTTCCCACCTCCAGTGCATACATACGTAACACCAAAATAAAATTCACTGCCTCCACAAGGAACAGCCACGGTGGGCCACATCCGACCTCCTCTGACGCCCCCGTTGGCACGAGGCAGGGGCAGATAAGCCTCAATGGCCCTTTCTTCTTGAGCCCACCTTCCTGCCCTTGAAGTGCATGACACATCCAGCTTCGTTCCTGGAGAAATGTCTTTGGACCCCTCAGATTCTTAAACTAAAACTTTAAAAGAATTTGCTATTCACCTACAAGTCCTGTTTATTTAAATTTTTCTAATTTTATTTTAAGATTACAAATTTTTCTAAGATTTCTTTTTATTTAAAAACAAGTTATTTAGCGCACGAAGAACTAGAAGATGAATAGCAGTTTCTTTTGACGTTATAAAAAGAAAAGGGGGGAAAAAAGAATTTGAGGAATCCGAGCTATCCAAATAAATCCATTTTTAAATTGTAAGGAAATTTCCTTGTTGGGGGCATGGATTATAGATATTTCTTTATACTTGTTTTTATTTTCTTTGTGTGTGTGTGTGTGTGTGTGTGTGTGTATCGAACAGGTATTACTATGCTGATTTAAAACATTTTAAAATAAAGTATGTAGATGAAAAAGACTTTTAAATTGGCTTGAAAATTTCTCAGAATTATTAATGGCTTTAAATGCGTGCTCCCCAGGGAAAGCGAAATAAAATCCTGTCTGCTCAGTAGTGTTAAACAGCTTCAGGCATCTCTGTACTTCAGTGCTGCCATTGGATTGACTCTGCTATCTTCGTGCATCTTTGGAATTCCATGTGCTGTAGAAGAGTGATTAGTTGTGTCCATCACTCCCTGAGAAGAAATAGGCAGACAGACATGACGTGGAATGTTTTTGTATGTGTACTATGAATAACTGCTTGGTTGACTTCCAGGAAATCCTGTGTCAGCCGTGGTCACCTGCAACCTCTTTGTTGTACCTGCCCTGAGAAAGATGCAGGGCATCTTGGATCCGCGGCCAACCATCATCAAAGCCAGGGTAATGTTTTCTAATGACCATAAACTAAAATTGAAACCTGATCACAATTAAGAATGTAATTTTCGAACTGTCCAAAACACATACCTAGGATTTTTATTACCTTGGAGGGAAAATGTGCTTACCTGGTACCCTTCGTGGCAGGGGAGGGGAATCCTTTATTCCTTTGCTACAATCTTTCATTACTTCTACAACAGACTGCTTTCTCCGGCTGGAAGTCCATGTGAAAGGCTGTAGAGCAAGGTTTAAGAATGTGAGTGGATACTCAGGAGAGGACGGGTAATTAGAATGGAGGCTGGCACCGCCCTAACCTTAGACCTACATGCAGGAAGGGACAGCGTGTTCTTACCCCAATGTAAACTCTTGGAGGACAGCAATTGGCCTGCTCACTCTTTCTGTAACGTCCCTGATCAATTTTAAATAATTCAACAAAAGACAATCAAGGGGCTAGAAATAGACCCTGCTGATTGAAGAGGAAAGGATGATACAAGACAACTTAAACTGAAATCAACCAACCCTGTTGCCTTCAAGTCAGTAGTCACTCACATTGACTGTATCAGACAGAGTGGAACTTATCCAGAGGGTTTCTACACCTCTAATCTTTATGGAAGCAGAATGCCTCTTTTGTATTCCACGGAGCAGCTAGTAGATTCAAACTGCCAACCTTTAAATTAGCAGCCAAGCACTTAACTACTGCATCACCAAGTGCTATAGGACAATTAAGGTCAAGGAAGTATACTTATAGTGAAAGTTGTTTGGAAAGTAAGAGTCCCCTTCTCCACCAACACTAACTTCAATTTGATTTATTGAACTAATTATATTACATACTTTCTGCATTACTAATAAGCAATTTTCTTGGCAGTATGAACTATAATGCCAAGCTATCATTCTTTAAGTGTTCTGAAATAAATTTAGATGTGACAGAATGCTCTGATTAATTGATGACAAGAACTTATAAACCATAGAAGGGAGGAAATATTAATCAAATATTACTCTAAGAACAGATAGCTAAAAATCTTAAGAAAATCTAGGCTTTAGGTATTCTTCTTAATGTTGACCTAAGTACTGGGAATTTGTGTACCTAATGAAATTTCTTTCAGCAAAAGGTTCAGCTAAGTGGTTCTGAAAACAAATTAACATCATGATGGTGTTATTTGAAATTAAATGGAAAAATAATATATAAAAACGCGTCAGCCAGCAAAAAATAGTTTGTTCAAATTAGCAGGTCAGAGCTGGAAAGCTTAAATCTAGGCATTTACACTAATAATACTGAGTATTTTCATATTTGCTAAATTTAAGAAACAAAAATTTATAGTTTTGTGAGAAAAAGGGTTTCTCTTTGACTTTTCAAAACTCTCGTTTTAATATCCACCATCTCTTGAGACTGGCAGAGTGGTAGCCATCCATCCATCCTGACAAGCATTACTGGATGTGCTCTTGTGACCAGACTGATGCACACTACATTGTTCACATAAGCTCAGAGAGTTGAGAGCTGGCTCACAAATCAGCCCAACTCCTCCCTCCCCAGAGCAGTGCCTCTAAGGCTGCCAGGCTGGTTCATCAGTGTGCTTTGTGAGTTGCCTCTTTGTTTAGCCTCACAATCACTGCCACCTCTTCCCTCTCACAGCTCATACGACGTGGAATGTTTTCGTGTATGTACTATGAATAACTGCTGGGTTGACTTCCAGGGAATCCTGTGTCAGCCATGGTCACCTGTAAACCTCTTTGTTGCGCCTGCCCTGAGAAAGAGGCAGGGCATCTTGGATCCGCGGCCAACCATCATCAACTTTAGAACATAGCCCCATTCACTGCCTTGAAATCCATGGTAATGTCTGACCATATAAATGTTGTAGCTTAAAGCCATCCCTCAGTACTATTGTCCCTGAACAGTTCAGCCAAAATGGTTGCCATCCTTACTGCCTGTTGCCTCTTTAGGAAGGGCTGTTAAGTGTGGCTTGTGATAAGCACACTGCTGGACTCTGAGATAGCCATTCTGTGGGGCAGGCACAATTCTAGCAATAATGGAATAGAATTGTTTGCCCAGCATCTCCACAGAAGAATAGCCTTAATATCCATGTCTTTAATATTCCCTCAGAGCCTCCTGCACTGCTCTGTTCACAGCTTTTATTCTCTCTCGAGCCCACCTGAGGTAACCTCCACGTTGTACTAACGGCTCGCCATAAGTCTCTTGACCTATGCTTTGGGACCAGACGCCAAGAGTCCGGACCTCCAGCACCACCCAGGACCTGTGGCATATCAGCCTGGGCCTCCGCCCAACAGAAAACCCCTCTCTGTTGGGGCCTCTGTTTGTTTTCTCACCGACTCGCTTCCCTCTGCTGTGCCACTGTCACCCCCTCCTCCTCCTGGCTGCCATCAAACCTCCTGGGACGTCTCCCTGCAGACATCCAGGTCCTCGCAGTTGTCTCCGAGTTTGCTTTACCTTCGTGTGTCCTTCAGCCACCTACACCCACATCCTGTAATGGACCCGCCAGTGCTCCACCTCCTAAGTTAGTTCCCCTCTCTCAAAAAACCTTGCAGAGGAACATGATTTGAGGATGGCAGAGCTGTCATTTTCACATCCTGCGCTTCAGAGAGCGCGGCACTCTTCAGGGCCCGCTTGCAGAGATGGAAGCACAGCCTTCAGGCATGTACACATCTGGAAGATGGAGGACATGCTGAGAAACAATTACTTCGTAGTGTGATATTTTGGTGTAATAAAGGGTTCTGTGACTTTGTAGTCATACTTTCTTACTCAGCCTCCTATATAAAGAGTGCACATAGTAGGCTCTCCATCCCAAAGCCTCAGTTTTCTCTCCAACTTCATCTGCTTCCCCTCCTATACTCTGGCCATACCGTGCTATTTGCTACTTCAAGGATAGACATGAGGTCCCCTGTGCATACCTGTACTTTTCCTTCCTGGAAGGTCTCCTCTCAATCCCAGCATTTCCTGTACATGCCTGGAAAATTCCGTACTCATCCTGTAAGATTCAGGCTGATATTGCCATTCCTGTGAACCCTTTATCAAGGGCCTTAAGAAGGGCACCCTTTTGTACCATATAAATCATTCCGAGGTAACATTATCATTTTGTATTTGCGGTTACTTGATTACTCGAGGATTCCTTGAGTAACTTTGTGCAAAATGTGTAGGAGAAAGAAGGAAGGATAATAGTCTCTTACTCTAACCTGATTCCTCCTTCAGATGTTTACGTATAGACCATGTTATGTAAGAGGACACCAAATACTGCAGTTTTTCTCTTGAGGGACTTCTAGGTGCCAAGAAGATGGTCATAGGAGGCAGCCCCAGCCCCCGTGACTGTCCAAATCTGAATAAAGAGAAAAGTCATCAGAAGAGAAAGATCAGCCCTTTGGTTGTCTTTTGTTGAATTATTTAAAATTGATCAGGGACGTTACAGAAAGAGTGAGCAGGCCAATTGGTGTCCCCCAAGAGTTTACATTGGGGAAAGAACATGCTTGTCCCTCCTTGCATGTAGGTCTAAGATTAGGGCGGTGCCAGCCAAGTGATGTAAAATTCCAGAACTATAATGTGTGTGAAAACAAATATGTTAGTTAATAAAACATTCTTTCCAGTATAAAAAAAAATCTAAGCTTAATTTCTTACTGCAAAAAGAACAGCTATTTGTGAAAAAGCTCACTTCAGTTTGATGCAACTGATTTGGGTTTCTTAAATTTATATGAATATCTTCCTTTAAAATAAAATAATTTATATTTTTAATTGACTGAAAAAAGAATTAAAATATTTAGAATCATAAAGTTTGAAGGCATGTTAACCCTTCCCCCCAAAAAAACACTCATTACTGTAGAGTCCATTCTGACTCATAGTAACCTTATACAACAGAATAGAACTGGCGCTGTGGTTTCTGGGGTTGTGAATCTTTATGAAAACAGAAAGCCTCATCCTTCTCCTATGAAGCAGCTGGTGGTTTTGAACCGTTGACCTTGCAATTAGCCACCCAACATGTAACCCACCATGCTATCCAGACTCCTTAGGAAATCAAAATAACTTGCTCACATAACAATAAGAGTATACAACTAATTTGTAGTTAAACTGGGAATGAAACCTATATGGCTGGTTCCCAGTCTAGTATTTTTTTTCCCCATTGCACTGCCATAAACCAATCAGTGCCATCAGTGAAGGGAAAAAACTTTGCTATTCTTTGAAGTTTTATACTGGAAAAAACTCCACACAGAAAAACAGTGGGAAGACATTTTTATCAGAACAAGTTAGGAATAATTCCAGGTTACTCCATCAATACAGAGCATTGGTGCACCGTGGTTAAACGCTCCACCACTGATCAAAATCTTGGCACTTCCAACCCACCAG